AACTTCTCCGGTCATCGGGCGAGACCCAACCGACCATCTCCGTTGACATGGTGGAGTTGGTCGTCGTATTCGATTGAGAGAGGGCGACACTCGGTAAAGTTGCCGCCGCCAACAAGATGGCCGCCGAGCTCATTGTCAATGTTTCGCGCTCGCGCGAGATGTAGATGTAGTGGAAGGAAGGGAACAGTCGATAAATCTACGACGCGCGGCCAGGCTTTTAGGCATCCAAACCCTCACCCTCCTGCGTCAATTTCCTGATTCACGCCTTACCTTCATTGGACGCCACAACACTCAGCTGTACATCGGAGACACCCAGTCTGCATCCAATGTCCTGTCTGATTCGACCCAAAAGACCCCTGTGATTATTGGCACCCAAAGTGCTCCTCACGGACTCCCACCGACAGGATGTAATTCTTATGCCACGCCTCTGCAAATTTCATTGGCAGCTCGCGGTGTCCACTGAACTACATTGTGACGGTACCTACGTAATTTAACGAGACACCGACCAATAATTGGAGCCTTACTGAAATAACAGAAGAGAAGGGAAATAGTAGATACATACCAGTTATTAACTTTGGAGAACACCTTCCTGTCCTCTGCATCATACATATTAACACCATAGCCATTGCGATTGCATCAAAATACGGATAGGTACCTGCCTAGACTCTGAGAGAAACACCCTTCACATTATGTGCCTGAACATGGAGACGCTGTCGAGACTACGTAACCCTAGGCCATCTTGTGAATTTCGCTCCTCGATAGAGTTGACGAACGAAAAATAAAACCCCAAGCTATGGTTCGCGTCTCAGCTCAGGGTTTGAGTCAAGAAAGCAGCGCTGATATCAACATAATAGCCCGTGACTATTCGTGCTTTCCTTTCCATGCTTACCTGAGATGGCGGCATGGCCACCTTGGTGTATCCGATTGACCTGATTCGTGTGAGGCTCTAACTTCTAGGGTGGTCTTAATTGGATCTCGTCAATACCACCAATGGCATAGTAGCCAGAGTGCTGTACGAGGGTTGCTTATGCGTCTTCGAGAGAATTTATGGTAGCAGCGCATCTACTCGACTCCACATCGACTGGTGCACTATGATTACATACCAGTAGCTAAACATAAAGGCTGTCGGTAGCTCTTGTTTGGTCTGTGATTTTGACAAAGGCTCTCCCAGTCCCCTTCCCCAACGAAGATATACGTTATACAGACACAATTACCCCAAAGCCACCATCATGGGCGGAGGTCCAGCCCGCCCCCGTGACCTTGACCACTCCTAACACCTGCACTCTTCACCTCCATCGTCAGGGCGCGACTGCCGTACCAAGAAGGAAAGCCGATCAACTTCTCCGAATTTGGCTGAGACATCCTCCTAGAAGACGCCTTCGACCCGCAGCTCCGGGCCACGGTGTGGCCAGCCCTGGCCGCCCTCAGCAAGATCGGCCTCGACCATGTACCCGACCTCCCCGCACCAACGGATGCATCGTACCCCGAGCAGTGCCTGGGTCTCCAGCTGCTCCTCGACTTTTGCCCGCGGCTCTTCTGCCAGGGCGTCGACCACCGCTGGACGTACGGCTACTTCCGGTCGCTGTCGGAGCGCGTGGCCAAGGCGTGGCACGCGCTGCCGCCGGCGCAGCGGCCGGACGGGTGGGAACGGTGGCGGCAGGGCGGCGCGGGGGTCGACTGCTGGATTGGCGCGCGGCTGTGGTTGAACGCGCCGTTCGTGCACGCCGAGTGCCGCGCGGACCAGGCGCTGGCGCTGCAGTTCACCAACGATACGCGGCGGTTCGTCGAGCGGTTGTCGGGGCTGACTGACCCAAACCGCGCGCGGCGGGATGACATCCTCGCGGATCTGCACGGGTTCCCCCGCGTTTATGTTGAGGGCCCGCCGCTGGGCGCGGACGTGACGCGCGAGAGCTGGACGTTCTGGGCCGGCATGCTCATAGACATCCACAAGCCCATCATTGATTGGTTCGGCCGGTATCCGTATTTGAATGCCGTTCTCGGGAGGCAGTCGACGGCCGAGGAGGAGGTGTGGATAGAGGAGACGGGCCACCTTAACGAGGCGGAGAGAGAAGTTGCGAGGATTGTTGCCGAGGACGTGAGGTTGCGGCGGTGGACGCCGCCGGGGGGATGTTCTCCGAGGTAATTAGTTCCTCTAAACTAGTGAAATAACAAGTGCAATATATTCGGAGCTTTCATAAACATTTCCCAAAAGAATTTGGGAGTAAGTGTAGACTATATCTCGTGCTTTACCTCTTGTTCCAATCGAATTCTAAACCGAACCCCCAAAAATGAAACGGAAGGGAGCCCTTCACCTCTTTTTATAATAACTTGAAACGAAAAATGGGGCTGGGTTGGCAGTTTAGACCAAGAGACTGTTGTTCGGCTTCATTCCGTCGTTGTATGGATCAATACGTTCGTGGTTGTTTCAGTTTTGCCGTTTCACAGCGTTTGCAGGCTCAACGTTTCCCCTCAACCGCAAAGTGGACCCGATGTCGGCAGCCGGGCACCTCGCGCGACGAGGTGGACCTGTTGCTCGGAGATGTCGCGCCAATCTCGCATCTCCGAGCTTACGAGTCACACGAATCCTTTTCTGCCAGTTCTACACTATCCGTGTTCCTGCCCAGTTCAGATTCTTATTCTTATTTTTTCTCTCCCTTTCAATTATTTACTATTTCAAGTAATGAGGCATCCTCTCTTCCCGTACTTTCACATCCCCATCTGGTCTAGTCTGACAATCGTTGCTGCAATCATCGCCATCGTTGTTGCCACTTTCACCCAAGCACTTTTCCCAAAGAAAACGCCACCCGACGAAATGGCGGCCAAATCGCTACAGAATGTGGTGGTCGTGGGAGGCTCATACGTGGGTATGGTTAGTTGTGAAGAAGCGAGTCTGTGTCAGACTCAGCGCGGAGCCATGTGCTGACTTTGGCACCCTCGACAGCGCGCAGCAAAGGAACTCGCCAGTATCCTTCCGGCATCGCATCGTGTAAGGCGATCGATTTCACTGTGGTGTCCGTTGCAATGCTAATCGCTGTTTGTACTCGCACAGGTTCTCCTTATTGAGCCGCACAGCCATTTCAACCACTTATTCGTCTTTGTGAGCCCACACGGATCTCTACCCATGTGCGGTGCAGCTCTTGCTAACAAATCCAAAGCCACGATTCGCCATTGTGCCCAACCATGAGCACAAGGCCTTCGTCCCTTACTCCACCCTCTTCTCTTCGGCCCCAGACCCTGCCCACCACCAGGTCGTGCGGGCACGCGTAGCCTCCCTTCACCCCCACCACGTCACGCTGGACCGCGAGTGGCATGGATCCCGGGATCTGGCCTTCGAGTATCTCGTCGCCGCTACGGGCACACGTCTCGCTGCCCCCGGCTCCATGCCTAGCGAGGACAAGCTGCCGTCGGTCCGCTACCTGCAGAGCTACCAGCAGGGCGTCGCCAAGGCCCAGTCCGTCGTCGTCGTCGGCGGCGGCGCCGTCGGCGTGCAGATGGCCTGCGACCTCAAGGAGGTCTACCCGGACAAGGACATCACCCTCGTCCACTCGCGCCAGCAGCTCATGCCCGTCTACCACGAGGGGCTGAGCGACCTGATCAAGGCCCGCTTCGCCACCCTCGGCATCAACCTCGTCGCCGGCAGCCGCGCCGTCGTCCCGCCCGCCGGCTTCCCCAACGGCGCGGGCGAGCCGTTCCACGTCAGCCTGCAAGACGGCCGCTCCGTCCCGGCCGACTTTGCCATCCTCGCCACGGGACAGACTCCCAACAATCAGTTCCTCCGCGGCCTCGCATCGCCAGAGTCTGACAGCGCATTGCCCCTAACAGACACGCTCGTGAATCCGTCTAACGGTTTCATCCGCGTGCAGCCGACGCTGCAGTTCCGCGACGCGCGCTTCCCTCACCTATTCGCCGTCGGCGATATTGCTGACTCGGGCGCGCACAAGGCTGCCCGCCCGGGCGCCGTGCAAGCGGCTATGGTCGCAAAGAACATTGCCGACTTGGTGGCGGGAAGAGCGCCGAGCGAGACCATCGCCGTGGCGCCCGCGGGAATCCATCTAACCTTGGGGCTGGTGGGTTACTTCTTTTCTCACTTTTACTGCTATTCATACTTCTGGACTCTTGGGTTGGTCTGGCAGCTACATGTAATACTAACGGAAGGGATCATGAACAGACGCGAAACGTCATCTTCAGAAACCCCGACACAGCAGCCGGCGGAACGGAGCCGTTTGTCAATCTCAAAGACGAGTATGTGATCCATTCCCGTTTTTTCTCGGTTTCATCAAACTAACTACTCTTCTTTAGCGGCCGAGAGGATATGGGAGTGGAGGGCTTCTGGGAGCGAAACGGCGTGGCGGTAGCAAGCCCCAAGGACTACCATCTTTGACCTCTTTAGCGGACCCAAGATTCCGGCCGGGTCGGACGTGGTTACTGTATTTGTACGTGTTTAGAACCTGACCCTGTCTCACGAATCTCAACTTGAATACTTGTCAATCCTTTGGTTTTCGCAGTATGGTAAAAGTCTATGTTATTTCAGCTTTAGGAGACTAAAAAACAAGAGCTCTGCCAAAGAGGCAAAACCAGCAGCTATTGTCATGACATTTGGCGTCAAACAACTGTTTCACGGTCTCTGTCAAGGGGGTTCAGGGTCAGCGGGGCAAGCGGAGCCGCGAGTTTAGCTGATGTGTGTGCGCACACTGCACAGCGGTGAAGTAAAACACAAAAAACAAACGCGAAGCCAGATAGAAATAAGCAACAAACGGATAGAAAGAAAAACATGCATTTGATGCTACCAAAGTAACCACGCGCTGAATAGGAATTATGTAATCGATAGTAAATAAAAAAGGGGCCGCCGCTTACAAACGCGAAAAGGGGCCAAAACACAAACACAAAACCATAAATTCCACCCTGGTCCGCCTGTCTCCACAACACAAAGAGAAACAATGAACGAACAAACAAAAAAAGGAAATGCGGATCACCTGTCCACATGATAAATGATAAATATTCGTCACGAGTCGGATTTGGACCGACGCCTCTGAAGAGATAAGATAGAACGAGTTATTTCCTGTCAATATGATCCGAGTCTCACGCTTTAGACCGCTCAGCCATCGTGCCTTGTATTGTTTTGATGAAGACTGTAGTCCGTGTGCGCAGTTATATGCTCCCTCCACCCAATTTCTTCTGGCAAACCGCATTATTATCATTTATTATAGTTATTGCGTGCCGATGCTTTATCATACTGCAGAAACAACGGAAATTGTCTTGGACGATTGCACTAGGGACTGAAACATTGTCCAATTACCCTGAACTGAGCGAGACGAAAGAAGACCAGGTGGAAAGACAATACCGGCGACTTTGGGGCACTGATCTTGCCTGCTTGCAAAGATCGCACACCGTTGTGGAAAGAAACAAGCAAATTATTTTGAGTTTTTAGTAGAGGTGCTTTATGGTATTTGTAGTGTACGTACGGTATCCAATTGCTTCAAACAAACAAGCCGCCGAAAACTCCAAGATAAAGCAACCAGTGCCCCCCGCGAGACCCAAGGCCTCTCTGATGCAGATGTCAAATTTCCAGGGCGGATCGTTCCCACCACCCTCTACCCACCCACCTACCCACCTTGGATATGTATGCAATGCGATTCGATGAGGCATGACGCAGTGCCATGATATAATGCAACGCTGGTACAAAGGAAATAACCGACCAAAATCCTCCAATTGGACCCAAAAAGATCGAAGTACTTCCATCCCTCGCAATATGCCTCCCCATCAAACATTCGACTCGTATCCTCATGGCTTTTTGGACACGTGATCCGTTTTATCGTGTCACGACAAACTTCATCCGGAAAAAGGGCCTTGACCCACATTATCCGTCTCTCTCTCCTCACACACGCCGAGACACCAGGCGCGGCGAATTTGACTGTGTTGTGTCCGCGTTAAAGTCGGCTTGGTAGGGATCTGAGTCGCTTTCAACGTCGGCATCATCAAAGTTCTGCGACTCGCGCTCTTGCGGCGAGCAGGCTACGATCTTAATCCCCACCTGGGGCGAGCCTGAACGTGATATTGCCTTGGACACGTCCTCGACGGTGCTGTCGTCCATCGCGACTGCCGAGTCGTTGCCCGTGTTCGCAAGCGACGCCAATGGCTTCGAGAAGTCGAACATGGGCGATCTAGGCTCGTTGTTGTACCGCTGCCAGTGTTTTGTCTGGATATAGCCCTGGCTCTTGGCCGATCGCTTGAGGCGAGGCTTAGTTACAATAGCCCGGCTGTTGCTGGAGCGTCCAGGTCGACTGCCCTTACGCAGGTTCATCATCTCAAGGCGCTCTTCTTCTTCTGACAGGTCGTCGGTCAGGCTGTCCTCAAAATTCTGGAATGCTTTCTTGTGCTGCGCGGCCAGAAGCTGGATACTGCACCCCGAACTTCTTCGCTGTCTGTGCGGCTGCTCCTCTGGAGTAGCATTGCCCGAGGACCCTTGGTGCACCGAGCACGCAGACCGGTTGCTGCCGTGGACATCGCCGCTCTCAAGGCTTGTTCCCCTACTAAGGCCCATTCTGATGGCCTGTGACTCGGAGACGGCGACTAATCTGCGAAGGTCCACTTGGCTCTTGCTGAAGACGACCCGCGCCCGCAGATCATGTACAGCTTGATCGAGCGCCAGTTCGATGGAACAGCGGTCTTTGATGCGGCTTAGTCTTGGCCATGTTGCCCTCTCCCCGATGAGGCAATTGCGCAGCATAAAGTCCGAGGTGGGATTCTTCAGGATGAGAGGGAGGTCTTGGATGGCAATTTCGGGCAGAATGGTAATGTCGCCCGAATACCTTTGGCTCAAGATGCAACGTAGCTTAGTAAACAGGTTCGGGAAAACACCCAGCTCGGTGAGGAATTGTAGTCTGTGAAGAGCCTCATCCTTGGCCAGAGACGTAAGGCTGTAGAGCCACTCCGAACTGCCCTGCGCTGATCTCTGCTGTCGCAGTTTCCCCGGATTGGCGGCTGGGTATAGCCTGTCGTCTTTGGAGAGAAACGGGACGACATGTGGGTTGACCTGCGAGACGATGAAGTGGTTGACGTTGAACATCTCGGCAAGGCGGGTCATGGGGAGGTCGTTATCCACGGAACCGTCGATCCATCGCTGCGGCGTGGGATTCCAAGGCACATGTGCGCCGGTTGTTGGGTCTTTCACCAAAAGGGGTGCAGCTTGGAAGACGAGCGGGACGGAACACGAGGCAGCAACGGCCGACCAAATCATGACATTGGGGGCTGTGACGTAGTTGAGCAGTCGAGGGAGCTCGTATATCGAGGCAGACGAGACGCAAATGTTGCATATCCTTCGCGTCCGATTATAGGCCTCCTGAAATGTCAAGTCGCCAAGCCAGCTGCGCATTACTCGTGTCAAGTGGGCAATGTCAGACCAGCTGCCCTCGGTCAACAGTCGGCGAATATGGTCAGAGATACCATCATTCTCGCCTTCGAAAACACCCAAGTCGCCATACGGAAACTGTCCGATTAATGCAGGAATCTCCTCGTCCTTCCGAGTGCACAGGACCGAGGCGACTATGGATCCTGCCGAAGCACCTGAGATGATACGCGGAAGAAGCTTGGCGTCGAAAAGCCCCTTCAGTACTCCGATATGCGACATACCAAACGTCGCGCCACCGCTCAGGAGCAGGGCGCTCCTCCCAAAGCTTTGTCTTGCGCAGAGCATACCTTCCAGTAGGTCCTTTTGCTCGATATCGCCAGGCAAAGCATAGGCGCTTTTCTCGACGAGGGCTTCGATTGTCTTAGTAGCAGAATCGACGTATTGCTCAATGAGCTTTTTCGTCCCAATATAGGAATGGCGATAGAGATCAATGTTCCCCATGCCACCGAGATCGCGCGAGAGGGCTGTTCGGACGAGGTGCATCATAGTCTTGATGTCGCAGTTTGTCCTGGCCGTATCGAGCTCCTTGAGCTTTGCCTCGATGAAGTCGGGGTAATAGTCTCCGCTTGACCGGTCCAGCTTCCATTCATCGTTGCCCTCGAGACTGTCGAGCTCTTTGGCGGCCGCCTCCCAATCTTGCATCGTAGTAGCCTAGGGACGAAAACGTCAGTTACGAGCTGGTCAATTGTCCAAGGGTTCTATTGTTCGCCTACACCCTGCATGCGCGCGGCTAGAATCTGCATTCTCTCCTCTGTCCTCCTTTTGCTCTCGCGCTCCGACTCGGTAAGGCCGTCGCGCCACGACAGTAGGATACTGCTGGCGTCGCGGACGACCTTAGTGAGCGGTTGGACTGGGGCATGCTGTGTCTTCTTCTTCTTCTTCAGTGTCGAAGCCGAGGTCGACGCCTCCACCGGTGTCTTCAGCTTGCCGTCGGCGCCGCTGCTCACCCGGATGACTGGCGGGCCGTGTATTAGGAGGTCGGTCATGGCGAGAGGTCGAGATGCGGATGGAGGATGCGGAGGGGGGGGGGGGGGGGGCTAGGAGGCCCCAGAACCACAAACCCTTGCAGACAGAGCAGCCGGATGCGCACTGGCTACTCAGCACTCTCCCTGAGGCTGCTTAAGGCACATTGGAATGAAGGGGTATAGAGACTGTTGCTGCGCTGAGGGTCGGGCGAAGAGCATCAGCTGACGTGGTTGGTCGTATTGCACGTTGAACGTTGGAACTGTGCCGTTTGCCGCAGCCGACAGAAATTCGATCTTTCCTGCTAGGCCACAGAGGTATAGTTCGAGGGATAGTTGCCGTATAATGGCTTTCTGTGCAGGATTGGGGCCCACGGGCAACTTAGGTATTGGCCAAAAGACATCAGGAGAGCAAGAGCGGTTCCCATATTCAGCAGGCCGGCCTGGATCAGCTGGCGCGGTCCGAAAAGGGCAGAGAAGCAGCCACCTGACAAGTCCCACCCGCCTGGCAGGGATGCGAATCGTGGGGGATTGGCGTCGGCAGCAGCGCGAGGACAAAGAAACGTGGGGCTGCATGCCGCTATGGGCGGGGCGTTTGGGGAGCCGAGGGGGCGCATCTGACCCGGAAAAGAGCCAATCAGCTAGAACCCAAGGGCTCTCAGCTGGGCTCCGAACTCACAAAGCGATTTTGTGCTTGGTTCTTCCAGGCAAAGGGTCAGAATGACCAGCGGGATTGGCGCTAGAATCGCCATAATAGAATTGTATCCGATTCCAATTCCGAAGGGATTCATCACCACTGATGACCTGCTATGGATCAGACGACCGAATGTCGATCGTGAATTCCAGGGATTTCCTCGATCGCCGTACTCCGTCCGATACTCAACTAATAGCGACAAATCGGTGCAAAGTACGGATACTCCGTACGAAGATACGGACGAGAGTCGAGTAAACAGCCCGTCCCGTGAAATGTAGGGCTTAGTAGGTTGCGACTCGCGGGAGCTAGGCTTGACGAGGAGTCGATTTTAGCGACAGCCGCCTCTTCGAAGTCCAGCTGTCGCACAGCACTGCATTCATTGCGAGTCAGGCAACTTGGATGTGGCTTGTCTGGGTCCCGTTGGCTCTGTGGTCCGTCAGAGGGAAACCCCAACTTTCACATGCCGCATCTCTCGCACGACATGGACTCCACTCCAACCTTTCACCGCCTCGCGTATCTTGTGGCTGGCTGAAACCGGCAAGCCGTCTCTCGTCACTCAATTCTTTTGGTTTACACATGTACATCCATACTTGCAACCAAGTTCTCGGCAGCTCTGGCTCAAATTGATCTGGACAGCTGTTAAGATGGGCCGTTTGGATACGCACTAGAGCTGACAGAGATCCACTAGCCATGACAACTGGAGTAGGGAGGTTGCATGTTGGAAATGCGCTGTCGAGATACACCATTGAACATTAGTAAATGCTAGGTGGCCAGTGGTTGAATGACAAAGTATTAGGCCAGTATCCTAGCCGTCGCTAAGTCAACGTTCACGGTGGATGAAGGGAGGCTGGCTCGAGGCTTGTTTTCCCTGTTTAGACTCTTGGTTCCAGGTTGACGATGCAGCTCAGCCGAGCCTGCTGGTGATTCATCCCCCACCCCTAACCCAGGAACCGGGGCCGTTGGCTGCTGGGCGCCCAGGCCCCACCATGCACAGATGCTTGACGCCCAAGCTTCTTCCAAACAGCGGTCCACCGGCCAGAACGGA